AGTACTTCAGGGCAGTGAGAGGAGGGAAGTGACAGTGGAGATTTTACATCCGCAGATTTTGCTGTAATCAATATATTTAATCCTCAAGGGGAGAGAAATTATGAAATGAAGAACAAAGTTCAGGTAGTGAAGAGTGGGAAACAGTGATTTTTGCTTCCCAATATTGTGAGAATAGGATTCATGGATTATTGACCAATTTTCAGCTCTGGTGAAGCCAAGAGTTCTTGCCACAGACTTCAAGGAACTTGAGGGTCAGGCCTGGAACAAAAATGGAAGATTAAATTTTGAACAGATTACGGTGATTGGGGTTTGTGGTAATTTACAAACCATCATCTAAATGACCTCTCTTTCATGCACCAGTTGGGATGACATGTCCAAGCGGATGGGTATTTTGGTGTGAGTTCAGTGAAAGCCTAGACCTTCAACCAGTAGAATGCTTCAGTCTAAGGTTTGTCCTGTTGTCCAGTTGTTAACACTGAGCTCCCCTCCAAGACAGCAATTTGTGGCAGAATGATGCAATCAGCTGGAATATGCCTGTTTGACCAAATGGACTGCTTTGCCCATGTGATTATTATTGGACTCAGAACATAAAAAGAGCCAAGGATGGCAAATATCTGTGTGAGGAACTGAACTCTCTTTAATGTACACATGTAACCCTTCCGTTTAGCAATATGGAAAGAGTGGGATTTTCAGATCTTCATGATGAAACCAGTTCATGTCAAGAAGCCCTTCCCCAGCACGGTGGCCATCAGAAGTACCCACCTGCCTGCCACATGTGGAGCAAATTCAATGGTCTTACTGTCTTTGTAAACAAAACAAAACAAAACAAAACAAACAACAACAACAACAAAAAAACATTTCTACCTGAACCATGTTTGTTTGTTTGTTTTCAGCATTCCCACTGCTTAAATTGTTGCTACTCAATATGTTTCTAGTAAGATGTCATGCTAATATGACTCAAGGAAAGCAACTTTAAGAGGAAAAAAAATCCAGGGAAGAATCCAACACTATCTTCACCCTGTGACTAGATTTTGGAGATACTTTTTTGCATCATGAGCTTCAAATATTTTAATTTCTTTTCTTATAGACAGATGCCAGTAACAGGAACATTTCATTGCTATTTCAGTCATTTTTAGAAAGATGTGGAAGAACACTCATGGCGGTTTGATACCCATTTCCTGTTGATTTTTTGTTACAGGTGGCAGCTTGCAATCAAGGAAAATGTTATAAAAATCAGTTATCTTCTAGCACGTGTTGTTTTGAAACTTTCCTGTTGCTGTCCAAATTAAATTTCCATTTTTTCCCTGGATATTCTGCCTCTGACAGCACATACAAAACATCTTGGCTCATACTATTCTGGATAGATTTAGTGTCTTCATCGTGGGACAAGCTGCAATTTCCACTTTTCTTGCCAACAGCAAGTAGTAACTGTGTAACACTGATGTCCATTTTTCAGAGAGGTTGGAAGAGCAGAGGGTGGACCTTTCTAGCTTTAGGATGAGGGGTAGTCTGCACCATCACATTTCCAATGAACTTTTCCTAGAGTCCTTTAGGTGACTGAATGCTGATTATTCAAATGCCTTCAGAATAAGAAGATACCAACAGATGATGCTGGAGGAAGAATTCACTCCCACTGCCAGTGTTGAAGATTGTCTGTCTTCCTGCTATAAACTTTGTGGTTTTATTTTGCTTGAAAGAGCAACAAAGGAAAACACTTAGCAACATGTCAAAGCTTCAAACTCTTGAACTGTGTTTGCCACCCCTGAAAAGTCTCTGGAGGACTCCTTGAGTGTCTGTTGTGTTTTTAACCAAAGCCAAATTTCTTGAGCACTTTTTTTTCTCCCATGAACAGATTTTCTTCCTATTTTTCTTTGACTACACGATTGATTATGATAATCATTTTTTGTTGTTTTGGTTTGGTTTGTTTTCTGTGATGGTGGGGAGTCTCAGTCAATCATTCTTTGACATTTTATTTATTTAATTTTTCAGTGTGATATGAATCAAAATAAATTTTTTTATTGTAATCAAATCAAAGGTGTTTTTCTCTGTCCACACCATTCTTCTTCCCTCAGTATTTCCATTAGCTCCTAGAACCTCCTGTGACATATAACATTGCAATGAAGCACTGTCCCACCTTCACTCTCATGACACACTTTCTTCTTCCACCCCCCATAATGAAGAAACCCACCACAGTCATGTTTACAATTTAACCCTCACTCCCAGAGTAAAGCTTAAAATAGCAAAGCTTCAAATAAATTGATGAGTCCCACGTTCTTCTACAGATTTAGCAATTCAATTTCCAATCCTAAATCCCATGAAATGGCCTCCTAACCTGCAAGAAGATGCATTTGGGTGTTCAACTCTGATTTGTGGGTAAAGCTCACTTCTCAACCTTCTATAGGTATCTCTGGGTCTTTTTTTCTAGCTGATCCCAGTCCTACTGCTACTTCCAGGAACTCTCTCAATAGCCACCTGGTCCATCCTCTCCAATTAATATTTTCTTTCATTATTTTTATTCAAACTTCATTATTTCTGGGTGTTTTCAAACAAGAAATATAATAGTAAAGCTATCCCAGTAGGAGGGGATATGATGAGAGATTTATTTCATAATTGTGTTGTGGGTATGTTGATGGGAGCTTTTGTGAGGAAAAAAAAATAAAAATAAAAGGTAGTCCTCCTCCTCTCTTTAAGGAAACATTTTTTTTGTCATGTTTTGAGCCATGCATGCTCTGACAGGAGGGCTTTAAGAGTGCCTTTCGAAGGGATCACATCCCTAAGGTGAAAATGGCAGAAGAACACATGCTTCAGGTCGGCAGAATGCTTGTGTTCACAGGCATCATCTAGGCCTCTCTGGAGAAAAAAACAAACAAACAAAAAAAAAAAAAAACAGTGATTTGTATGACTGGTCTTGTGGATCTATGCTGTACTTAGGTTATATACTAGGGAAAATAAGGCAGACTCAGAAATCAGTGACTTATTAGGTGACTTGACTCACCTGTCCTCCAGGGCTGACAGGCCTGTATTCATGGATGGCCTAGGCTGCCCATCAGAAGAAGGCCATCTAGGAGTTTGACATCTTTGACATAACAAATACCCACACCCCCTCATCTGCATGACCTTCACTTGGGGCACTCCACCCTAACTATTTCTTGTGGACCTCATAAGCAGCTCTGTTCCTTATGGGCCATTTCCATTCATTGTTTAAGGGAGTGAGTGGAATACAGGATTTAAGAGTGAAACAAATGCAAAGTTCTGCCCACTGAAATTCAATCAACCTGTTTGCTTTGTGGTAGGAGCTCAAGAAGTCATCACAGGGCAGCTCAGGAAGGTCCTGTTCAGATACAGGCAACAGTCTGATGGTCACAGTAAGACATGCTCCCCAGAGGGATCTTCAGAGGACCAAGTTCCCAGGAGTTGCTTCACATTTTGTTTTTCAACCCAGGCTCTAAATGTACTGCATCAGTGGATACAGCCCAGACACAATCACACTTGTTGAAATCAGTGGGAAGTGGAATCACAGCACCCTGAGGGAAGGTGTGGCTATACCAGTCACTTCAGGTCCCCAAGCCTGGTTTCTGCCCAGACCTTCTATAACTAGGCTGAGGGATAACCTGAGCTGGCTGTTAAATTAGACTGTTCTTCACAGAGGCTCTGTACCTTCCTGCCTGCCTCTATGTGGAGGAAATACAAAGAATTTGCTCCTCTATCATTCTCAGCAAAGTAAAATAACACTGGAACAACATGCTCTTCAAAATCATTTTGCACTTTGCTTCATGTCCACACAAAAGTACACCAAAATGCAGCTTCCAGGTCTAAAGTGATTTTGTCAGGAAGGTAATTTGCATAAAATTACAATCTAGAGACCCCAGGGAGCAGTAAGATATTCAGCAGCAACAACAGCATCATCCAGACAGATGGACCAACCACAGGACTTGGACAAAGGACTTTGCTTATACAATCAACTAAAGAAACAAGTATCCACAAGGGGACAATATGGCTTCAGTTCATGGCATAGGTTTCTCTGATGGCTCACATTCAGGATAGCAATTAAATTGAACAGATGAAAAGGCAAGGAGTCCCTAGCTACCTTTAAAATCTCTGTTTGCACTTGTCTTTCCTACAGACTTTGAGTGAGCAGATATCATTACATTTTGTTATCTTCAGGTAATGTGATCTAAAATGCGGTTCACAGAGCTGAAAGGTCACCAAGGTTAGGTTCCTTTATGCAGAGGTAAATCTCTGTGTTTTCAGATTAATTTTCTCCTATATGAAATGTAGCATGCTTTTTATCCCGTACTTTCTAAGGCAAATTTGGCTGGCAGATGATAAATACACAGGAATTTGGCCAAACCTGTGACTCTAACACTCCTACTAAGACAGAACTTTTCCCAAAACTGTTACTTTTCCCACATAATCAGATACTCTAGTGTTACACAGCAGGCCAATAGCTGCACTCTCAGCTGCCTCCCTGCCCACCCAGATGCTAAATCAGTAAGAAAAACACCCTGGTCTATGCAACACCATGATGTTCCTCCAAAGATGCCCCAACCAAGCCCCCACATCAAGTGTTACATTAAGGAACCCCTTATAGCAGTTTCTGTGTTTGGTGTAACACATCCTCATGCTCAGATATCAGAGGGTGTATAAAGGTGAGCCAGGTCCCCAAGAAGCTAACACAACACCAGGTTTCTGGTACCAGTGGTGGAGTCACAGGAACAGTCATGGGAGTGACTGATGACGAGTGATTCGTCACTGAGGACTTTGGACAGTTATCTGTGGGGAGACGTTCTGCAGGATGATAGGCTTTGCTATTTGAGGTTTGATTTGTATAGGCAGAAGTGGAAATAAACAGAAGCAAAGGTCAAGACAAGCTAAATAAAAATCAAGTCAGCACACCTTTAGAGAAACATTGGAAACAAAAGTGTTTTCACCGTTTGGTCAGCCAAAGCAGGTGGTACAAAACTTGGTACAAAACTGTACCAAGCTAACTCAGTTACTAGTTGTTCCTCACTACTTATTCGACAGATAACCCACCGGAATGATGTGAAATAACTACACACCACTAGCAGGGATGACATGATCCAAATTGAAAAAAAGCTAGGAGTTTCATCAGCTGGGTGTACTTTGCATGTTCTTGCTGAAATGCCTCTGAACTTGTGGTGAAACCATTGGATGCAGTTTAATTCTTGGAATAATTTTAAAACCACCACTTCTGACAGCCAGGGGCATTGACAAATCACTGTTTAGTGTGGCTGTGTGTGGTGTTTGCTTCCACAACGCCTCCTCAAAGGTGTGTGCCAGCCCACCAGTCATAGTCCCCTCCATGGTGGTTCTATGGCTTGCAAGGAACCACAGCTACAGGACTTTACAGCTCAGCAGAGAGATACAGCAGACGTAAGTAAATAAAGCCAGAATGATGTTTTTATTTCCTATAATAAGCAAAGGAATGGGAAACATCAGCATGCATGCAGATTAATGGGTCTCCAAGCAGTGAGATGTGATTAACTCACTTCAGTCAGAGCTGGGGATCTTAGCACCTCATTAGCTCTTTCATTAATGGTTACAACTAATATCTGATTAGTGTCTCAGCTTAGCCAGTAAGCAATTCTCCATCTTAATGGAGAAGGAGTTTTCCACTGGGTGATGGTGACAGAGAAAGAGAGGAAAGGAGCCCTCTGGTTACCGTGTTCATGGGGCGTCCCAATATTGTCTTCAGCAACACATCTGTCCTCCCTTTGCCCATGTAAATGTTCCCATACACTGGCACAGGCACGTGTGTGATGTGCTAAGAGCATTCCAGGTCCCTGAAAAAGAAATCAGCCCAAGCTGAAGGACAGTAGGAGGGGCAGTGTCAGCAGGTACCATGCTCCTCCATGGGCTGATGAGGGGCCATAAGTGACCGGGGGTGCACAGAGAAGGACAAAGAAACACTGGATAGAGATACATGTATGAAGCAACAGCTGCTTTCGTAGGGAGCGTTTCACCCAGTGTAGCGATTTGTTTTCCAGAATATTTTAATAATTTGCCCACTAGAGAGTGCTGTTTTCCTGTTCCCAGGAGTTACCGGGCGGCTCCTGGAGCACACAGCTCTCTGGTACCAGCGTGTCGTATCGTAGGCTCAGAGCCTGTTCCCTCCTGATGCTACGACTGCATTTACACATCTATCAGGCTTAAGATTTATTTGCTAGATCTGTCTATTCTCCTCCCTGGATGAGGCCTCTCTGAGAGCTGAATGCAGGAGCCTACTGGCAATGAAACAGATAGGGGAACATCAGGTGGGAGAAGTCCTGCAAGGCTTTGCACCGTGAGGGTTTATGTCAGTGCTGTTATTCACACAGCTTTTCTTTCGTGTTTTCAGAGGGGACAACACTCTCAGCTATGCATTTGTTGTCTTTTGTATTGACCCTTTAGAAATGGTTGTCACTGCAAAAAGGTTTTTTGTTTTTTGTTTTTTTTTTTTTTTCCTTTGAAACTTAATTCCCTGACCAGGGACAAATATTCGGCATGCCTGGCTACGTGCAACTGCTCAAATCTTTTTAGTTGGGGATGGAAAAAACTTTAGTGATAGCAAATTAAAATGTCCTTTGTGGACCATAAATGCATGTCACTTTTTTCTATCAGGACTTGCATGTTATGCTACCAATATAATCAATTTGTGTAGTTTGGGATTTTTTTTTTTTGTTCTTAGCCACAGGACCCAGATGTTAAACAAGAGGTAAATATATTGCAAAAAGCAATCAATGCCACAAATTAATTAGCTGGGTTCAGTGAAAGCAGAAGTCCCATCTGCCTGCGGACTGCCAGCAGTACGTGTGCTCACGCCTCAGCCATGCCCCAGAGCCAAAGAGTTTAAAGCCAGATTGGATGGGGCTTGGAGCAACCTCATTTGTAAGAAATGTCCCTGCCCATGGCAGAGAGGTTGGACAAGGTGATCTTGAAGGGTCCTTTCCCACCAAACTCCTCTATGATCCTATGATTACAGCTCAATGTAAAACTCACCAGCTTGTGGATGCTCACTGTTGCCTTGTTCAGCTTTTGTTAGTTTTTAGAGGTGTGACAGCTCATCCTCACTTGTAGCAGGCAGCCCCTGAGTAGAAAAATCCCAGAGCAGGAAGGGAGAGGATGTGCTGAGCTTTTGTAGTGGTGGGACTTTTCCCTTCTGAGTATATTGAGCATAATCCTGCCCTGGGTAGGATTTAGGGGTAGTTGGGGTGTGTGACTCTGCTCACTACACGTGGAAGAGTAAGGCTGTATTTTTTTCCCAATGTTTCCTTCAAGAAAACAGAAAGAGCAGTAAGGCTCAGCCCAACAATTCTAGACCCTGAATAGCCCCAAATTAATTCCTGTGTCTACAACAGCACTACTGATGCCTGGTGTCGTGGATGTAGCCTCACCTGCACTGCCGAGGACTTGTTCTCTCCAGCTGACTGACCCTGCCCGCACTGCTTAGCACTGAACCTTGCATCTCCTGTATGTCTCAAGTGCTGTACCTATGACCTAAAAAGGAATTATCACCAAAAACTTATGTAAGAGTATGAGAAAAAATGTCAGAGTGTTGCATCAGCCTGACCAGAGTGGGATTTCTCTGGCAAAAAGCTGAATGTTTATTCCGTGTTCCCAGAGGAGGCATGAAGGGAGTGCTGGAGAGTGCAAAGAGTACTCTGGCAGCTGGCATTTAACAGCATGCATGTTTGGGGGAGATAGCCATATACAGAAATACTCAGAAATATATTTAGGATATAATAAAGTATGTTAAGTACCATACTTGTGTCTGAGGGCACAAGTGTACCACGGAGCACGTCTGTACAGCTAAATCTTTTAAAAATACTGGGTGGCTTTATCCATGCCAGCAGCATTTGTCTGTTGATTTGCAAGGCTGGAACTATCTGGGCAGGCTGCCTGTCCAGGAGTGGAAAGTCTCCGCTGAACCAGCTGCAGTTACAGAGTTTTTAACAGAAGTCAGAAAGACATCAGCAGAGTCCCTGGCATCTAGCTGTTTCAAAAGAGATGGTATTTTGCAGAAAGAACAGAAATGTTAATGTTCTTATAACAGCAGAATTTGCCCAAAGCATGGTACAGCTTTAACTCTTTCAGGTATTTGCTTCTTTTGGCAAATAAAAAAAGCCCCCTTCAGACCCTCCTCTCCTGTGCAATCATACAAGACACCCAAACTAACCCTTAACCTAAACCAACTCATCAGCTCTGCAAGCCTGCTTTGTGCAGTTATTACACAGCATGTTATTAGTTGGCCAACTTCTCAGTGGATGTACATCAGCTCTTCTTCCCAGAGGTCAAAGCAATCACATCAATTTACATATTTTCACACCAGTAAAACTCATATCACTTTTATGACATGCAGAAGGGCCACAGGTGGTCCCTAAAATGATAGAGAAAATAATGTATTTCCTCCTTGTTGCTACAGCAAGAACATCCAGGAGTCTCAGTAATGTAGATGTATAGAAAGATATGCACACATCTGTGTATGCCAAATGTCCACCTCTCCTTTATTTTTGGATTTTTTCATATATTTTTTTTTAATCATAATTTTAAAAAATTTCTTTTTTTTTTTTTTTTTTAATACGTTGTCCTAGTCTTGGTTTTCTCCCTTCTAAAATTCTGGGAGCTGTGGAAGACTTTTAAAAGTTAGGGAAAATTCAAAAGCACCTGCTTTTACAATGTAGCAAAAAGCACCGAGGCAAAGTGAAAATTTTCCTTGGAAAAATTAATCATTTCTGAAGTCCCATTCCCTTTTGAAAGAATGCTTAGCTATGAAGGAAGAGTACAGCAAGACTGCTTTCGAACAGGTTGCAGAGATTTCACGCTACAATAAGTCATTCTTGCCCTGTACATCAGTCATTAACCATTACCCAGACCACATTTCTAATCCTTACCTTGAGTGGTCTGTGTCATGCTCAGTTACAGATTCCTAGACCTTATATAGCACGTGAAAACTTTGCTTTCAAGAAGCCCTCACCCAATAACACAAACCCTCCTATCGAAAATTTGTATTGACTGCTCCATTGACATAAATCTAAAGCTGCTTATGTGAAGTTGGTCTGATCCTGTGTTGGCCTGAATTCAGTTTAGGACACGACACAGACTTCTGAAGTCACTGGGAAATCTTTCCGTTTTCTTTACCGGGTATGGATTAGCACTGGAGGTGGTGTCTGTGCCAGCAAACAGAACAAGTCAAGGACTTTACCCTTACATCGGTGCTGCCAAACAGAGCACAGCTCGCATCCACCCAACCAGCTGCTTTTAGCCCCATGTGCCAGGTACTGCCTGGTGGGGACAGTCCCTGGGCAGTGCCTTGCCTGGGCACAGTGCTGGCTGTCCCAAACCAGAGCTGATTAAGCATAAGAGACAACTTTGGGGCAGGGCTTCGGTCTGTGCTTTGTTTTATTTATAAATATGGGCCCAACCTGTGACAACACAAACCCAAATCCTGCCTGTGTGCTCCTGAGCAATAGGAAAAGTCACTCTGCAGCATACAGGTAAAGCCTCCCCCGTGTTTCTTGCCATCACCAGCACTGTTCCTCCCCACACCACAGCAGGTGTTGGCCAGTTACTGTTAGCTTTGGCTCAGAGACAAGGTTTTGCATTTCTTCTCTTCTACACTAGCATGAGAGACGAAAATCAAAGCCCACGTGTGTTTGCTTTTCCACTGAAGAGCTGAACTGGAACAATAGAAAGAGATTTATGCTGGAAAATAATTGTAGAAAGGAAAAAGACACCACAGACTCAGCCCCTACAAAACCAAGGGTGAGTAAGGGAAAGGATTTTGCAGGACACGGATCGGTGAAGCAGCTCATCCAGTTCAGAAGGCTGCTTGGTGTGTGGGTCTAGGTGCTGTACCAAAGGGCAGAAATGCCATTTCCTGCCTTCATTCACTCGTGTCTCCAGAAAGGATGGCTTCTCTCAGAAAACTGTTATTTTCATATAAAGCACTTTTTCATATAAGCACTTTTAGCTGCGGTAAGATAGCCCTAGACTGGCTTGGGGAAGGGAGTGGGAGGGAGCTCAAGACCCCATCCTACACATGGCCCCAATTAACCCCATAGCCAGTACCAGCCTGACCTCAGGAGGAGGTGACAGGTACCCCCATCCCCTCCCCATATCTTCTCTTCGCCATCAACATGGTCAGCTCAGCCTGGCAGACCTGCAAGGTGACCTCGTCCCCAACCTTGGCTAGAGAGGAGGTAGTGACCTGAAAGCTGGAAAACACCCTGCTCCGTTCCTCTCCCTTGGCTCCATGCAGTAGCCTCAGGAAAGGCTCTCACTCATCAGTTTGCTATTGATCCACACCACTTACAGCAGTTGTAATTGCAGAGACAGGAGCTGCAATTAGAGCAGAGTGAACTCTTACCTGCTACTCTGAGGTGGTGGTTACAGCC